ACTTTATTGCTTCAACGTGTGAAGTAAGCTCAAGATTGCAATTAGTGACAGTTGTAAGAAAATAGCATTTCTCACCAAGTCGTCTAATAGACTATATTTTCTGCCTGACCTTGTGAGCTATTTAAATTTTTTTGGAGAGAAATAAGCTATAATAAGCTTAATTATGTGGGAGATGTATGTTTAACAAGTGAAGGGAGTTTCTGCTTTAATTATAAGTGACATTTGTTAGTTAGTACTACTTTGCTATCTCCAAGTATTAAGCTGTGTGATCATCTTGTTACCATCATGCATATTTCTGTCATTGCTACTGTTTTGGTGTAGTTACTGCCTTGAATTTTTATTTCTTTTGCCAATCATTTTGTGAGTGACTTCTGCATGTTAAATTTTATGTCTTAATTCCATTTTTTGTTTGCAGATTTTTGAAGTTGGTGATATAGTCCTCTTAGATGATACAAAAGATGTTGGCGCAGTAAACCGTCGCCACCTTGCTGCTCTGTATTGTGGAGCAAACTCAGGATTTGAGGTACAGATTTTCCAATTTGTAGCTTGTAAAGTGGTAGTTTAGTAGTTCTACACCGTGAAATCTCCTTGGATGTGAACTATTTGAAATACATATGGATGGACACTCTCTGTAGCATCTGCTGCACATTACAAGTTCCAGTTGGAATATGTGTTGTAATTTGGACAGATATTTTCTTGTAAAGGAAGCTCTGTTCTAGGTCTCTACTTTTTTCTTCATGGAGAGCTGATTGCAGGTGTAAGTTTAAAATGGAAAGGCTGTTGGGTATATGAAAATAGTCGACTGCCTCGATCATGAAAGTTATTTTCATATGAGAGCTGGACCTAATTATGAAGTGACCTCTGCCATCCGGTCCCTACAGATCCCCTTTTGGTCTTCCTCTCGGAGTGACCCATTTCCTGTTGTAACCTCTGTTGCAATAAGAATGCCCTACTTTCCTTTATGATCTTCCCTAAATAGCTTGTCCTTTCTTTAACTGGATTTTATTTTCTTCCTCCATGTCCTTTCAAAGTTTAGTGACATTTTTAGTTGAGTTCTCCTCTTGTACAAATGATTGTTAAAACACTTATTTACCAAATTCAATATAATAATCAGTACAAGCATTTCGTTCTCAAGTCTTGTGCTCTTTTTTTTTTTAATAAAGTAAGTGGTATTAGTAACAGCATTAAGAAGATGCAAGAATTACTAGATATGGCGTTTGAGCTGACAATAACTTTCTGGCTAACTAAACAAACTATCTTAGGCAGAACTAGTGAGTTCATAACATCCTGAAGTTGTACTGCATTTACAGCTGGATACAACTTGGACCAACTAAACAAATATACAATACGCGTAGCCTTCAAAATGCCTTAAGCAGTTGACTCCCACTCAAGTCTTGTGCTATTTAGAACTTAGAATAGGTTGCAAGTACTGCTCTCCTTTAGTAAGAACTCTTTGTATGCACAGAGAGAGTTCTGGAGAAGTCCATCGTTAGCTTAGTTGGCAGAATGATTTCTTATCCTGCTTCAACATCAGTTGTGCTGTGATAATTTCTGCAAACTCTGAGCTTATGCATCCACAACTACTATGTTCTTCTGGAGAACAAGGACCAAACTTTGGAAGGTTCTTGAATAACATATATACTGCTATTTTCTTATTGTGAAGTTCTACTATAAGAATATTTGGAGTTGAACTTGAATCTTCTGACTTCCAAGAAATGATTTGATTACTACTATCAGACTCGTATGTATAATTATAATAGTTCTATAGGTTGTGCACTAGCTTCTAGGCACTCATTTGACTCTTCACATTTTCCCCAGCTAATACATGGTCTAGTTGACAAAATCATGGAAGCAACTGGCACTAATTTTGTATCACCTGGAAACAGTACAGGCTACTACATAGAAAAATCAGAGGTAATTGTTTGCATTTTGCCAATTTGCTTGCTTTCATTTCATTATGAGTATTGCTCAGTGTGCTTATTTCTGTCTTAATGTGTCATAGGAGCCTGCATTTCTTCAGGGAAGACAGGCTAACGTTATTTATGGAGGAAAGCAAATTGGAACATTCGGCATTGTGCACCCTAAGGTATTCACTTATTATGCATTGATTTTGTATGCATGAGACTTGTCAATTAGTAATTAGGAACATATTCTGATTACTTCTATTTGCATTTTAAAGCATCTTGAGTTTGGTTAAGTCCTATATAATTCTTTTACCCTTCTTGTAAGGCTATAGGAAATCCATATCTGCATTTTTCATTTGGATGCATGATTAAAATGTGCACTTGCATAGGTTTTACAGATCATTACAATGACCACCTCAAATAATGCCTTTGGAGGGTACAACCGATAGCAATTTCAGAACGACAATTATTAGCATGCCATAACAGCCTGATTCACCTAATAGTTTCGTCTTTAGACAGTTTGACTATCTACTGTTAATTGACACACGTTGAGGCCACCCGTAATAACCTGATTAGCAGATCCCGATTCCAGAGTTATATGTTTTGGCTTTTGGTTTCAGGTCCTCAAGGAGTATGACATTCCAGATGTCTGCTCCTTCTTGGAGCTTGACATGCAGAGTTTCCTATAGTCAGGTTTCACGGTACACTATAATTATACGCCCCCTTCTCGCTTTTCCTCCCCTTTTACCTGAAAATAAACACACCTCTAATTTATGTTTTGCCAGAGCATCATCTACCATGCCTTTTTCTTCCTGGGAATCCTTTGTCGCGTTGGTTCCATGAAGTATTTATAAGTTCATTTATCAAACTGTGCTGCTTTTGATGCCCCGGGGCCTTGAGCTGTTCGATTATGGTGACAATTTTTGACAATGGTCTCTACGTATTGATCGATCAAGAAAGATGATCCAACATTCATTTGGTTCACTTACTGTTTGACAGGAAACCCTCCCCTCCCAGGCAAATATGTTTGATATCAACATTGAGATTATCATTGTCTGTTAGCTTAGTTAACTCTCTTTTTTGAGCAAACATAAGATTTTTTTTTAAAAAAAATGAAGCTTTGCACTTGTTTACCCTCTCTTATATATTTGAATGAATTATTTAATTTGGCATGAAAACTTTAATGTTTGATTAAACACAAGAAAAGCTAGTGAATTATTAGATGTGGTTTGATTCATTATCATCAGTGTAAATAATTTGCTTCCTAAAGCTTTTACTTTAGTATAACTTTTTATATAGCTATTTAGATCTAGTTAGCCAAAGGACTATGTTATAGTTTTATTCATTTCGTTTTAAAAAGAATGACCTAGTTTGATTTGACACGAAGTTTTAAAAAAATCATGATGGACTTTTCAATTTTGTGGTTTAAAATTAAAGTTATATCAAATGACTGACGTTTAATTTTGTGACATCCTATGTTACATGGAAAGGAGAAATCAAAATGTGGGTCATTTTTTTTCGAAACAGATTAAAAGCCGACTTGGATTGACTAAATAAAGTAGTTTTTAAGTAAAAAAAACATAGAAAAGAAAGAAGAGTTCGAAAAGAATGACCTAGTTTGATTTGACACGAAATTTTAAAAAAAACATAATACTTTTCAATTTTGTGGTTTAAAATTAAAGTTATATCAAATGATTGACGTTTAAATTTGTGACATCCTATGTTACCTCGAAAGGTGAAATTAAAATGTGGGTCGGTCATTTTTTTCCGAAACAGATTAAAAGCCGACTTGGATTGACTAAAGGAAGTAGTTTTTAAGTCAATAAAATAGAAAAAAAAGAAGAGTTCCTACTTTTGATTTTTAGTATTTTGTTCAAGTTACGCAAACTTATTTTTAACTTTGTCAAACACTCTCAAAGTTAGAAGTTAAAAATGACTTCAAAATATGTTTGATTAAAATTTTTAAGTCAATCTAGGCCGGCTCTAAATGAGAACGTATGTCATTCTTTTTTAAACGGAAGAAGTGATATTTTTAAATGTTCCATAATTAAATAGTTGAATTTATTATTACGGCAAAAAACTAAAGTATATTTTGTACTTCTGTTATTATTTTGTTTCTTAGTTTATATTTTGTACTTTAGGTTATTATTTTATTTCTTAGTTTTTTATTATCATCACCTGTTGTATCCTTTGCTTCAATTATTATACTATTTGCTATTACTATTATTATTTCCCCTTTCTATTATTTTTAAAAATTATTTTTATATAATATTTCTTTTTCATATCTATTTTAAATTACTTTATTTGAATCGAGCGTTTTTCTTCGATTCAAATAATAAATATTCATCAGAAATTGTTATTTCGCCCTAATATTAAAAAAAAAAGAAGATATTTATTGTATGTCTAGGTAGAAACAAAAATATATTGGAACTTAGCAATTTTTTTTTATTAGGATGCTGTCTCTCACCTACTTTTGTTGATTTAGAAAATATAGCCATCTACGATTAAATTATATAATTTTAAATTATATATACTAACGGATAATACAATAAATTCTTTCATCGTTAGTATAGTTTTGACCTATTATAACAAGTTACATCATTTTACTTTAGGTTACGATTATCGATGCTATTAAGAAAGAATTATTCACGATCAGAGACGGAGCTAGGTGGGATATATTAAGAAAGAACTACTCACGATCTTATATTTGTACTAGAAATTTCATTAAATATATAAGTATATTAATTTGTAAATCCCTAACAAAATTGATTGACGATTCTAAAAAAAATTTAGAATCGTAAACTCTTAATCCTAGTTCCGCCTCCATTCACAATCACATTTTAGTAATAATGAACTTAGGGTTTAAACATCTTTTAAACTATTTTATCATTTTTCGTGTGGTACCAGGTAATCTATTTTCAACTATTGATGTATCCAAGTCAAACACTCAAACTCAACTATACATACACATGAATATCTCCTTTTAATTATGCTTTCGGTTGTAAAATCAAGATTTTCATTAAGGTGGTTCGAAAAAATATTAGTTCTGCTTTCGGTGGCAAATCAAGATTTTCATTAAGGGGGTTCGAAAAAATAAAGACGTACTTTCTTGGAACACTTGTATCATTGATTCAACCTTTTACTCTTGTATTTAGGAGATACAAAATCTATATACTCACTAAAATAAATAATCTTAGATACACAGTATAATCGAGAGAGTTCTGGTGAACACCCTCTCCCACTCCTAGATCAACCTTTTGCCTACTTCGATTACTTCCTTTGAGCTAAGATCAGTAGGATCTGCATACATCCTACTCTTCGGACTCCGCTATATAAAGCCATTGCCAAACTTATTAAGACAAAAATATCACTAGCCATGGAGAAAAAAGTAGAGATAACATCACAAAATTTGATAAAACCTAAAGTTTGTCATATTGAATCCTTCAATTTTTCAGCTCTAGATCAACTTGCTCCCCTTCCTCACTATCCAATCTTTCTATACTATCCAAATGATGATCAAGAATCAACCAACATATCAACAAAATCCCAACAACTAAAAAATTCATTATCCAAAATTTTATCTGATTTTTATCCATTTGCTGGTAGATTAATCAATGAAAACACTTCACTAAGTTTCAATAATCACAATAATGATGATTTTGGTGTGTTATTTATTGAAGCTTTTGCACATAACTATAATCTCCAAGAAGATATTCTTCTCTCAGGCATTAAAACAAACACTTGTGGACACTTTCTCCCAACACTTGATTCACTATTGCAAACTCATTTGTTGATTGTTCAAGTCACATTCTTTAAATGTGGAGGCATGATTCTAGGTTGTTGGGTTTCTCATAAGTTATCCGACGCTACGTCTATTTGTAGTCTCATCAATAACTGGGCATCCACTGCTCGGGAAGGAGCAGTGGATGCCCAGTTATTACTGACCCCTGATTTTAAAACAGGGGTCAAAATCTTCCCACCTACCCAAAAACCCTATCCATCACCATTCACTAACTTTGTTTTTAATGAACAACAACTCGTTTCGAAGATCTTCTTGTTTAATGGACCTAGCATCGCGAATCTCAAGACTAAAGCTTTATCTAAGGATGTACCTAGCCCTACGCGTGTTGAAGCCGTGTCAGCTCTCATATGGAAATGTGCGACTGTCTCATCTAAAAGCAGCTCTGGTACGTCTTACTTATCACATGTAGTGAATGTTAGGAAAAGACTTGTACCTTCATTGCCTAGTGGGACTATTGGAAATTTTCTTGGCTTTTCATTGTGTACAAAAAGTGAGAGTGACATTAATGAGTTACCAAATCTTGTGACTATAGTTAGAAAAAGTTTATTAGAGTTTCCTTATAGTAAAAATGGTACAAAGAGTTTAAATTGGGATGTGGCTTTAGATCCTATAATTGAAAATTGGAAAATGATTGGAGATATTTTATCAAGAAGTAGTGATATTGAGTTGTATAATTTTACTAGTTGGTGTGGTGTGCCATTTTATGAAGCAAATTTTGGATGGGGGAAGCCAAAATGGATGAGTATTATGGAACTTTACTCTAAAAATATGATTTTGCTAATGGATTCTATAGATGGTGGGATAGAAGCTTGGATTTGTTTGGAGGCAAAACATATGTTAGAGTTTGAACAAAATCAAGATTTACTAGCTTTTGCCACCATTAAATAAACAATTATGTGTTGGTAGGGAGCGTTTCCCCCCTTTCATGACATTCTATCGAAACTGGTTAAGAATGAGCGTTGATATCTCAATCTGAATCCAATCAGGTTTGTTGATCATGTCTCCTTCCTAGCGGTACATGGAGCGAATCTGGCTTATATGGGTTGTTATTGTATTGTATTATGTTGTTAATTTAAATATGATGTTTGTTTTGATTGGTACTTATTGTTAAACCGATGAAAAGTCTCGTCTTATATAATGTTTGATTTGATGTAATCATATTGTTGCCTTTTTTGCTTAATCATTTTATTTTTTACTCATGATCTATAATTTTGTTGTCCTTTACTTTACATTTTATAATAGCTTTACTCCGTAACCTTTTATCATTCAAATTGCTGGTGTGTGATATTATGTAACAACTGTAAATGACATAATATATTCGAACGTTGTATTTGTCAAATCGATACAATACAAATCACATTGTTATACCTATTTTTCGCGCTCTTGTTTCGTCTCAATACTTGCACCTTATTCTGCACTATCCATGTATTAATACACACGAAAAATGCCCACACTTGACACAATTTTTCCTAACACTTTGCTTGATCTTCTCAGTTTGGAAGGAATGAGAACCGCGTAAATTAGCAGACTGAAGAGGGTAGTACGTACGCAAATTTTATCCCTACCTTCACGAGGTAGGAAAGTTGTTTCTAATAGACCCTCGGCTAGAGGAAAGAAAACTAAAGAGAAACTATGAGCAAGAATTCACCATTACCTTTCACTTTGTATTTTGTGGATTCAACTCCCATATCAAAGACAAATATCAACCAAAGATCCAAAATTTTGTTACTATGTTACATTAAGAAAAAAATGAGTCACTTGCCACAAGTAAACCATAAACATCTAAATTTTTTGAAAGGCATCACAAATAATGTAGCAAATTGTACGAGGCAAAATGGGAAGGCACCAAAATTTTCGTTTTATTAAGACTGCGGCAAAAATGTAGTCAGCCCCTCGAGCTCAAATGACTGGATGACAACAGCAAAAACTATCTGCAGTCTGCTCCAACAGCTTCATGGATTGACTTGTAACCATCCTTTTCTAAGCATTGCGCGAGTTCAGCCTATAGAAAGAGAGAGTGTTGCAATACGTGAGCAGAATGTTCGTTAATCTACAAGTGAGAGTAGAAAAAAAGAAAGTGATTTTATTGCAAGAAGAGAGCAGAGTATGTTTTTGTTTGCAGATGAGAGCTGGAAAAAATGAACCTAGGTTAGTGGAAGATTAAGCGGCTCGTATTTATAGCAGCAGTTTATCTCAAAAAGGATTAAAATTGGAGTTGAATGAGCACTTTCCTCAACAATCCTGTGCACTATTTACATCCATATCCGGCGAATCCATCAAATATCAAGTTATAGTAGGGATAAAAGAGATTTTTCTATGCCAATTTCCAGGTTAAAGACACAACACTATGCAATGTAACTGGGTGAAGTGTCTGCAAAAGATGCTACAGCACACGCACAAAAGCACCTGAAAAGAAGGGGGTAGGAACGAACCACTTTAAAATGCGAGTTTCTTGAGCTAATGGAACCTCAAAGAGGAAATTCCGACTTCAGATTGGTTTACCTAATGCTTGATGTCAATCTAGTCTTGTAAAATAGGGGATGGATTATCAATCAGCCGTGTGGTTATATTTCAGTTCTCCATGGAGTAGCACACACACGGTATATACCTATTACCTCGTGCATGATATCAACATGGTATATACCTATTCCCTTATCCTTCTTCTTCTGCTGGCACCATCGGCCCTCACAACTTTGACCCAGCCAAAAGAGGAATAGAAAGGATCTCTCCTTCTTTACACCCCGTAGCTAATCATGATTCTATGAATAAACTTTTATGTCTACACTAACAAAAAGAAAAAAAACTAAAAGCGAATAAGAAAAACAAAATGTCCCAACTTGAAAATCTGCCTCGATCCCATGAATGAAAGGTAAGAGAACTTTTGGAATGCATGTTCGGTTAGAATCAGGGTTTCATCTTGTACTATATTTCTTCTATACTTCGTATTATTTATAGAAACTCTAATGAAAGAATATATGATAGATATTCAGAACTTAATGAGCATGAAAAACCTATACCTTAATATTGGGGATAAGTGCAGGTCCTCCATATCCAAATGCTGTATAAAGCTGAACAAGAGTCGCACCAGCTCGAATTTTTCTGTAAGCATCCTCGCCACTGCAAGAAATGCATAATTCAAGTATTCAAATACTTACCAGAATTGCTAATGAAATGAAAGATGTTAATACTTGTTACAATCATGGACGAGGGAATGGAGTACCTGCTAATACCTCCACAACCAATGAGAGGAATCCTTCCCTGTTAGAACAAACAAATGAGGTTATCAGTTGCATCAAATATAGACAACGGAAGATATTGTTTTTGTCATATGCTGAGGTTACAAATGTAGCTAGAGACAGAAGTGGACAGAGCAATATGCAGATAGTTTCACCTCAAATAATCAAATGAAAGAATTATTCAAGGTTAAAATTTGAGCAGCAGAAAAGTCAACAAAAAAAATATAAGAATACAATATATCATACTCAATAGAACAATGAATACTTGAAGTTGTACTCCATACATTACAATTTTATGTAGTAAAAGTTAAAAGGAATCTGTGTTATTTCTATAACAGGAAAAATTACAAAAGAAAATTGAAGAGAACTTTTTTTAGGAGAACATTGACATGGATCAATTTAAATACAGCAACAAGACACAGGGAGGACCAAAAAGAACCAATCCAACTGTTCCACTCCAATATGATAACTAGCACATGCACATATTCCAGATACAACGGGACATTACACATACCTTAGTCAGAAGATACATCTCCTTAAGTATATTTGTTGACATATTAAAGAGTGGCTTCCCACTCAAGCCACCAGTCTCTTGTGCCACAGGGTTTTGACTAACTGAATCCGGTCTTTGGATTGTAGTATTTGATATAATCTACAAGCATCAAGCATAGAATGTTGGTATTTATGTTAAAGAAAATAAAATGTTTCACGGAATGCAGGTGGTCAAACATGAAAACAAGGAAAGCATAAAGCTCGTCATACCTACTCGTGTCTCTGGGTTTTATTTTTGCTATCTTTTCTTTTGAGGAGTTGGGGGGGGGGGGGGGGGGGTAGGGAATGCTCCTACGAAAAATCATTTCTTCATGGATAGACACTCAATATTTGACACAATGAGAATGGCACAAGAAAATTAATAAGAAATGGTTCACACAAAAACATGAATTGCCATTAACTTAGTTTAGCTCGATGCCAAGCTTTGTTTCTTTCCTTTTTTTTTTTGGCTAATACATCATTAATTCTTATTGCTACTGAGTGGCAACACCTTGGTGCCAATCATGAAAATCCTAATCCATTTTATCTATAGAAAAGCCAAGATCATAAAAGTTTTAAATGTGAATATTATAGTACAAGAGACCAGTTGCTCAACTTCTAATAATTATTTGAGGATAAATTAAACAGCGAACCACAGAACCCCAAGTCCCAACATAGAATAAACTGTTGGTCAATATAAGCTCAATGTCACAAACCAAGTAGCTACTTCCTTTCTGGATAGGTATAGTCAGAAACCAATAAGATATTGTCATCATGAATCTCCCAACACCAAAGTGCTGCTTGAAATCCAACACTAAGGGACTTACTTTAACTTATTAAAAAATGCAAAAAAACAATACTAAAGTTCTCTTTAAAACTGTACCAGTCCGTCCACACGAAGAGCAAGAGCCACCTACAATAGTAGAAAGAGAACAAGCCATAAGAACAAATCAACAACTGCTAAAACCGTTGTTGCTCGGACTCTTCAAAAATGTCAACAGGCGCGTGTCAGATTCTCCAAAAGTAAAGTAGTGTATTTTTGTAGAATCGGACATGCGTCTGGCAGCAAAAGGGAAGTGTCTGCGCAACTTAGTAGGTGTTTGGATTGATTTATTGTTAGTGACTTTTGGCTTTTAAGCACTTTTACACAAAAAGTGCTTTTAAGCTGAAAAAGTACCCAAAAAAAATAAATCAAAAGTCAAAAGTTGGGGGTTCCCAACTTATGACTTTTGGCTTTTAACTTGCAAGTCACTTGAAAAGCAAATCCAAACACCCCCTTAGATTACACATCAATCCCAAGCTAGTTTATATATGAGTAGAAATACTTCCATACCGCTGCAATATCTTCAAGATCTTGTTTGGACAAATCTGGAGCGATTTTTACAAGTAAAGGCGGAGGTCCCTCCTCACCCCACTGCATTTCATCACGAGCTGCCTGGACCTATATAAAGATACTGAAAGGACTTAATCTAATACTTGGTGACATGGTCTTTAACATTACCATATGTAAACTAGCACAATATAACAGAAAGGCACCAGGCAAAAACCTTCTTCACAAGATCCTTCAGTTGCTTTCTTCCCTGAAGTTGGCGTAGTCCTGGAGTATTTGGGGATGAGATATTAATTACCTAAAACAGTCAAGGAGACTATGAATCAGTCTTATAAACAATACTAGGGAGGCGTTTCTGGAAGCTGGTAGAGAATGTATCCTTCATCAAGAGAATTAACTTGGAGAAAATTTACCTAATTGTTCTCAAAGATTAAAAAAACAATTACTATGTTTGTTTCCGCTTCTATCGAATGATAAAATGGAAAGTGACATTGCCAAAAACACCACATGTAAAATATCAGAAAATATAACAAACACAGAAAAGTTTATGAAATTAGCAGTCCGTAATTCTCTCTTTGGAGTGTGGGTGGGTAGGAGATTCTTTTCAAACCTTCATATATTAGTCTAATGGGTGTTTAGAAAAAGATAAGATGTCCTGGTCCTTCAGCCTGCAACATGGCAATCTGATACATAGTTTTTCTTCATTCTAGAAGTTAATTAAATAAAAAAAAGATTTTGTATGCATTTGTAGAAACTAGATCACAAAAGCACATAAGTTTACACAAACACATAAAACAAAAAGGAGTACCAAACAGGTGTAATCCAAGAGCATGCAAATATCCAAACAAAAGACACATAATAGTTTCAGACATCTACCAAGTAGTCAGCATATTGAGATAATGTATGAACTCCTTGGACATAATCTGCTGCAGCATCTTCACTTGTCTTGTTCTTTCCAAGGTTAACACCAAGAATACCAGGACCAGCTTTCCCTCCATGCTTGACTTCATCTCCTGCTGGAGATGAAGTACTAGATGTTTCCAACTTTCTCTTACCATGCTGAGCACCCAATCTTTTGGCAACCACAACAATTCCTTCACTATTGAAGCCACACCTATTGATTAAAGCACTGCCACCAAACAAAGGATTCTTACTTTTACAACTTCCAGAATCAAGCATTTTGATCTTCTTTTTTTATTTTTGATAAGCATCAAGCTTTTTAATTATTAAAGATATAGAAATGAATTTCACTGGGAAAACCACAAGAGAAATAAGAATAGTTCAAGATCAGAAAACATAACAGGTGTTGATGGTGAGTTGGACACAATCTGATTAGACATGCATTCTTACCCTTCATTTGGCAACCTAAACATACGTGGTTTTGGGTTGCCATCCTGTGGAATGGGCGTTACTGAGCCAACTTCAACAAAACCAAAACCTAATCCAAGCAAGCCTTCAACGGCCTCGGCATTCTTGTCAAATCCAGCAGCAAGACCAACAGGATTTGAGAACCTTCTTCCCCATACATCAAGGCCCAATATAGGAAGATCAGGCCTCTTCTCCCTTGGAACCCATCCTCGGGCTGCAGCAGAGACTGCCAGTTTGTGAGCAACCTCTGGATCCAGAAATGCAAAGAATGGATTTACAAGCTTTGTTGCTGAGAATAGCCAGCCACTGCACGTATTTTGGAACATAAATGTAAATTTCACCCAAACCTTGTAATAAACAACAATAGATACAGTTCAGACAAAGGGAGAGAGGGAAGACTG